TGATTGGTAACAGATGCATATATATATATATATATATATATATATATACATGTATGTATTTATATATATACTTCTCACTGTCGAAGCTGTGACTTATACTGCTTCTCATTGACTCTCTCGATCGGTGAATCGCTAATGCGGGATGAGACGGTATGGCTATGTATAGTGACAGCAGTTGAAACGGATTGAATGTAACAATATTTACATGGTGATAGTTACATATATAAGCATTTCGTAGTGCCCCGATTATTCAATTTACTAATTAATCAAGTGTATGTAGAGAGGTTGTCCTTTTCCTTCCTCTTATCATTAACACGAGAAAACGTCAACGGAAAACAAAGGGTGATCTCTGGTCACACACGCGCACAATCCGCTTTATTTCTCGCACTCACAAGTCGCATCGCACACACACCCCTTTCGCAGAAATCAGCCGGAAACTCGGAAGAAGACCAACATATTATAAACCTATTTAAAAATCACTCACAATAGAGTATCTAACGTACACAATGACAGTATTGCTACCTAGTTATGTATCTATAGATACACAATTTGATATCGAGTTCATACAAGTCTGTTTGGTTTCTCTCTCTTTTCACTTGTATTTTATTCTTCTACCACCGTAGTTTTTCCGATTTCTCTCGAATGTGAGAAATCGCTTACACTTCTCGACACGATAAGTAGTTAGACAGTCGGTCATATCGACCTCCGTGCACTTGATGTGTCAGAAAACGACACTATCTGGTTGTCATAATCGCTGTAATAAGCTCGAGGAAATACGTTGGGCCTACTAATTCCGCTATAGCACCAACATTTGAAATCATTTTTCGAGAAAGTGGAGAGTTGTTTGAGTGTTACGTCGATGTATAGCGCGAACGCACTCGCTCGAATCTACCCGGAGATGAGTCGAGTAGATCTTCTTTTCTCGTTCCTCAAGTTGTACGATCTTTATGTAAATTATTCTATAACAAGCTGTGCTTCCCGTCAAGCGCGCACGACTTTCATCATCTTTGCTCCCTTTATTTCTATAACGGTAGTGGCATCAACGTTAACAACTTTCAACCTCGACTCTGCCCGATGCACATATATCGCATATGAAAACGTACGAAATTAACTCTGCCTCGTTAACTCTTTGAAGATGGTGGCACATATACATAATATATATGTGTTAGAACTATGGCGTGTGTGCGCTCATACTGTAGTATGTATGCTTTGCAAGAGTCAACAAGAACTTTATCAAGTGGCGGTTGTTATGTCGATTTATGTATCGACAAATATTTCAAGATGTATTATTTCTCAAATAATTCTATATTAAAACAAAAAATGAATTTTTTTATCAGTTTTAATTGCTCAAAAAAAGCGGTCTTTGAAAAATTAATATTGCATTTTCTATAATAAAATTAATTAATTTATAATAATTATTTAAACAAAAACTCTATTATATTTATGGGGTCGTTGTTAAAATTTAGAGTTAATTTCGACAGTTAATTTCTGGCGGAATTTAGTTTAATTACGGATTTAATTGCCATTATGACAAAAATTGTTTCGACGCGTATAAAGGACATTTATTAATATTTTGCTGGATAAAAGTAATGAAAAATAACTCTCTAATTTATCAAAGAATCAATTAAAGACCTTGTTTTAACAAGAGAGACAGCAATAGCTAACGTATATATATACTCGTGTGTAAGAAAAGTTATATATTAAACTTTAGAGAATAGTAATAAACTGAGACTGATTTTAATAGCGAATCAATAAAAAATGTTAGATCAAAATATATATTTAATATATTCCATTCATAATTGCATCATTGAAATTGGATGAGAATATGTGATGATTGTAAATTTATGCCGTGCGCAATTAATTTTCCACGATCCGTATCAAATATAATGTATATGTATATATATATTGAAAAAGGCAGATTTAAAAGATAAACACCAATGTGTTCTCTCTCGCGATATCGAATTATGCGCTATCAATGCGGTCTCTCCACTAGCTCAAAAAGTGTTTTCAAAACATTCCCTATTAATCGTTAGCGGCCCGTAAATTCGGTCGATCACTCATTATCGCAACCGTTCGACCGCACGCATTTTTAAGAACACACATTGCGCTTCGACCGCTCCCATATACATGTTATCGTTAAACGCGTCGATTACGTATTCTTGCTGGATTCGAAATCCAAAATTGATTTGCGATTTTTTGTTTAAAAAAACGTTCGCTCGCTCGCTCGCCTAAAACTCCGACGATAAATACTTAATTTCCTAAAATTTTCCGCGATGCAATCGGCGATTAATACATAGTATAGACCTCTTCGTCCTAATTATATTCGAATACGAATAAACGTCCGCTTTCGCGCGCAGACTTGCTTCCGTCTCTAAGGTAAACTAATAAGAAAGAATGGGAACATCACAGTCGTATAGAGGATGTGTAATGTCAATAAGTTCGTCCATATATAGCGTATTTGGTGAAGGCGAGTCTTTTTCCTACGGTAATGACTTTCTCGAGCGATAGACACGGACGGTGACTTGAGAGATTCGTTTCGCGCGGGAGGAGGAAAAAACATTGTCCGTCGAACGAATAAAATTAGGCTTAAATGGTCCATATACACAGCAATAAAATACAATACAAAAGCTTCCCCAACAGCGCGCGCGCGCTTAAGAATTTTGAAATTCGCTCAGTATCGAAAAAAAAACATAAAAGAGAATTAAAATTTATTTGTAGACTCGTTTTAGCTGCGATTAAGACTGGGTATAATTTTAAAAGCGGATATCTCGCGCGCGCGCTCTTTTAAAATACATTTCTTTAAATCAAGACGCGGCGGAGCGATGATTCGTAATGTTTTCGCAGAAAAAACTACCACGATCTCTTTCTCTTTCTCTCTCTTTCCCTCTGAAAATAAGAATTCTCGGGGGAGAATTAACTGTCGACTATAACTTACCCGCGTAGGCTATTAGCGGCAATTTAGCCATGCAGCCAATTAATCCCACTTCCCTGTTTAATGGTAACGGGGTTGTTGCAACGGACTCTCAACAAATGACACCGGCCTCCTCATCCATTTCTCCTCTCTCCGCGCGCGCCATTTTCTCAGACGACGTAAAAATATTTTATTGCCAATGCCTTTCTTTTCGAGAGGAGATAAAATAGTTAACGTGACGCGAACGAACGAGAGATAGAATGAAGGAAGGATGAGTGGGATAAATTTAAGACGCCGTGTCTTGGGGAGGGGAGAGGATAATAGAGTTTAGTAACACACGCTCCCTCTCGACGAATTCATCAACGAGGTTGCCACTTTCTTCGGTGAGGAGATGAAACTGTTCGGCGATTCTGGATAGCCTTCTCGATCTCCAGATTGCGGTTCGTTGTAAGTTGAGCCAGGGAGCCATCCGAATAGATCCGCTTCTCTTAATGCGAGTCTCTAGCGCTGCCAGCGAGAAGACGGCTCGTCAACAGCAACAGCAACAGGAGCAACGGCGGAAGGGCGACACCTTTAATGAAAGAAAAAGAAAACGCATTTACTTTTATTCGCGCGTCTGACACACAATAACGCTCTCTCAAATCGACCTCTTTTTCTTTTCTCTTTCTCTCTCTCTCTCTCTCCCTTTCGCAATTGACCCCGCGAAGCGAGTCGCGCGTGTGTTATCGATCCTGGCGTTTGCAGGCCTGCATACCTGACTACCGCGCGCGTGATAACACATGTGTGTTAACGATGGCATAAATTAATATTATACACACATATCATTCGTCTCGTTCGTGTTCGCTTCTCCTAAACCTTTTTATTGCCGCACGTACGCGAAGCAGAAAAAAATACAATACAATGAGGGGAGATTGCCGTGACGTGAGGTAAAAAAAAAAGCCGTAACATTTACGTTATACGCAATTCTTACGATCGATACAAAATACCCATTTTTTTTTCCTTCCGGTATCGCATGCGAGAATTTCAAGATTCTACATGTCAATCAGTCAAGCGTGTCTCAATCGTTGCAAGTAAATTGCGAGTAAAAGAAACAAAGATACTTTTTTCCTCGTCTCTTTTTTTCTCTCCTTTCAGAAAAGGTGCATCGAACTCCCTTTTCTCATTACCCGTTCTCCGTATTTATCAAATTCGACGATAACGTTCGAACTGATATCGGATCCTGTTACGGCGCTTCGTTCATTATGCAATCTCACGCAACCTCCTTCGGACAAATATTGCAAAGTCGTCGATACAATCTAGAATATTGAAACTGCCGCTCTATACAATCTCGCGGAAAACGCAATGGGGTGAGCGGGGGGAGCAGGGGTGAGTTGCGACATTATCGTTGATTGCCTATAAATACGCGTCACATCCGGCCGAGTCCTATTTGCAACTTGTTTCGCGACAATGGCGAGCAATTCTAGTTGACCGCGCATGCCGCGGCCGTTGTGCCGAAAGTAATTCATATTGTTTGGTTTCGTCGAGTCAATTTCTCGAGCACCGTGTACAACCGTGCAAAATTCAATTTTACATAATTACGTGGCCCGCGATGCAATAGCGCGATGCATTTACAAACTAGAGCGCGAGGCAAATCGCATTATTATTCGAAACTCCTTTGTGCGGGCTTAATCGGGATCGTAATGAGTAATGTAGGTACATTTTTATTAACGTGATAACGCATATATATGAGATGAACGAGAGACGATATTCCTTCCGCGCGAGGAAGAATTATTAATCAGAAATTGATCGAATCTCGTATAAAACGCGCAAATCCGTACAAGAACATTTCAATCGACGAGTCGCGAGAGAGGGGAAAAAAAAGAATCTGCACATTTTTTTTTCTCCGTTTCCTTTCGCAATTGTTACAGTTCGAAAACGGCGTTTAAACGAGCGACTGAACCGAAGCTCGAAGATGTATTTCGGGCTATTAAGCCCCGGCATGGTCGTCGGGGCTACTGCTCCCCCGGACGGCGTGCAACAATGCTGCAAGTTGTAACAAAAGTTTCTCACCGAATCCGAGGTATTCGACCCCGTTTGCGCGAAACGAGTGAATAACGGGGCTTCTCTCCGCGCAATTCGATTTGACGCCGTACGGGCTCTAAAGTACACCGCCTTAATTCATTCTGCTGCTACCTTTTCCAGGCTCCGCGCGCTTCTATCCATTTACGCGAGCCCGCGCGCGTGACTTTTCGCCTCTCCTTCTCGGTAAAATGAGAATGCGAATGAACGAATCTCCGTACAATTCAGAGAGCGAGATCCCTTCACCGGCTTTTCTCCCTCGTAGGGCGTTCTTTTATGTTCAAAAGACTCAATTATTTTCCAGAATGTACGTCCGCGTTTTTTTTTCTTTCTCTCCCTCTCTCTTCCCTCCTACAAATTTATACACAGTAAGAAGGAAAATCAGAGGGCAAAAGAGAGTAAAATCTGTCATGGGAATTGCGGGGAGAGAGAAGATGTTTAAATAGCCAGAATATTATAACTATAACGCGGCGGTTAACAGCTGTCTACGAATAATACAACCTACGTTAGGAGGAACGAGACTTGATTCGGTTGAATTTTCAGCAAAAATCGTATTAATACCGCACACAACTCTCTCGTTACATTACGAGGAACATTATGTTACATCACAAAATTATATCATTAAATCTAAAATTCAATTCAATGCAATACGTTGTACTTTTAGCTAGTAATATCGCGGGTAGATTTCTTTTATCTCTTTCACAAAGATCTTCTTTTTCTCTTGCGTAATGTCGTATCTTTCATACAACAATACCTTTATTCATTTTATCTCGACTATCTCGGCCAACTCTCTATTTGCCGATTTCACATTGTAATAAAAATAAACGCACAATTTTTTTTTATAAAAATAAAAAAAAGTTTGCAGTCAAAAATACGGTAATTTGCGTTTTATAAATATCAAATGGAATATAACAAACGTTTTATTATCATATTATGATTTATGTATCATAATCATAACTTGCATGGTAACTTTTCACATTTTTTCTCCCCGTTTCCGATATTTATCGTAAATTATTTTATTATATATACGAAGAGAGAGAGAGAGAGTACGGATATAACGTATATAAAAGATAGAACCCGGGCAGTTTTTTTGAAATTCGAATGTAGAAATAAACTTATGCGATAAACGAAATATTCTCATCGGAGTCGGCGTAGCGTGCCGCAATTTTTTTTTTTTAACGACGCGTATTTCAAATTTTACATTTTCCGCAACGAAATTGTCGACCGGGATAAATAATGAACAGCGTAATACGCATCTAAATGTTCGCCGAGTGTAACAAAAATAACGTATATTTACGATATTTGACGAGAGGAATTTTACGAATCACGTTTTCCCTCGACGAGACGCATCGTACCTTTGTTAGTGACCACGTCAATCTCTTGTCGTTACAACAAATGTTGCTAATGATTGAAAAAATCGGAAAATATCTATCTCTCTGTGCTGACAGAGACTAAAAACGCGCCAGTGATATAATTAACTAACTAATTTCACGAAAGCACCTCACCGTGCCGTGCCGATCCGTTGCTCGCAGGTATCTTTATCGTGTAATTCTCCTCCTCATCCAGGAACACGTAGCTGGCATTAAAGCCCGTAGCGTCGAGACGATCGTTACTCTTGAACGTAACGCGGAAGAACTTCCTGTCGCTGTAAATGTCGAATTCCTTCATCTGACCGCAATGCCTCTTGTATTTTCGGTCTCTGATCATGTAATTGGAGAATTCGACGTAATCGCTGGCTGATATAGCTTCGCACCTGCAAAAAATTCCGGATCGTTAACGATCGATACCTCTCTTATTTAATCGAGCGGGAAAGAATAGCATTGTCGGTGTTTCGTTTGATTAATCCTTTGCAAAAACATATGGTACACGCGATATTACAATTGATAGGTATTCCGTATAATTATATGCAAGATACGTATCACTTATGCGTACAGTATCGATTTGATCGCTCCGCTGCTGGTTAATCACAAAGATAATATCAACGATAAACAGAAACGAAGAAAATATAGACACTATTTCCAGTTGAAAAAAAAAACCAACATTTCTGCTTTCTAAATATTCCAAAATTGTCCGACAAAATATATGGCAAAGTGTGTTATCGTTAACATTTTTTACATTTATTCAAGCGAATAGACTACGATTTTTATTTTAACAGTGTTGTTTGTTATAAATACGTACACTTTAATTGAATGCGTGTTCCATCAACTTTGTATATCTTTCTTTTTTATTTATTTTTCATATATTAATCCTCTCAAATGTACAATCGTAAAAGTAATGATAAAAATAAAAATAATAAAAATTGATATACCCGTGTGTATGCGCGCGCGCGCACGTGATAAATAAAACAGGTGATATCATAAAACACATCGTAATATATCTATTTCTATTGCATATTATAAAAACTTTGTACATAGCTCTGTGTTCCAAAACTGTATATCTATATCAAGTTATCGCCTTTTCAAATTAAGTAAAACATTGCGCGCGGCAGTTCCGTAATTCTATCGGAATATATCAAGTAAAATAAATATATTCAGGGAATTAGTTAAAGTTTGGATAGTTAAACGACTCACTTAACTTTTCCTTGCAAGCTTTGATGGCTCAAAAACTTTGCCGGTCGTGCATTTCATTAAAGAAGTTATATGTGTCTCTTCATCGTCCATTATTACATCTCTCGAAGAAGCTTGTCGGAGGAAAATTCGGTTTTCCACCCCGGCTATTCGCGTAAAGTCAAAATCTTTCGATAAAATATACGCGTATCGGCTGTGTATATTCGAGAATACGAGGATTATAGATTATTAAGCATTGAACTCTCTCCACTCGATAAGCCGTTCAACTTTTTGCGCACGAGATTTTACGTTCTACCTTTTCAAAATATGCCTCGTGTGAGATACACCATACATTGATATATATCCCTGATGAAAAATGAACTAGCAAAAAGATCCCGATATCTACCTCTGGAAAGAATATCGATAAAACCCGGATGACTTTTCTTAACAGTCTTCCTTGGCTATCCTCTAGGTCATAAATTGCATTCATAGCTCCCTCTCTCTCTTCTCCGGCAATATTTCCATAAATAATTCAATCTTGGCTATTATTCACATTATTATAACGCGAATGTTATACACTTGTGAGATACTTTTACGAAAAAAATTAGCAGAATTCGATCTTTTGTTATTGATAATAATCTAATTATTTTAATAATATTAATCTTCGTCAATACACATCTTGATAAAATGTCAATATATATATATTTTAATTTAGAATAAAATATATATATACATTTTATTCTAAATATATTAATGTAAAAACTATATATACAGGATGGATCAGTAACTCTGCCCACTTGGAATATCTCCGCTATTTTTAGAGATACAAAAATATTATAATTACGAAAATTGTACGGTATCAAGAGAGCCATAAAATGCTAGTAATAATTTTTCTGTGGGTGGAGGCGTTTCGGAGATTTCAAGATCACTTCCATTTTTTTTTTAATGAAAACCTCTGTTTTTCATTGCATATTCCTGCAGCTTATCTCGAGAGCTTTTCAAAACACTATAATGAAGTATTTTTGTATCTCTAAAAATAGCGGAAATATTCTAGGTGAACAAGGTTACTGATTCACCCTGTATAAAAAAAAAAAATCTTTATTATTAATATACTTTTTATTATACGAACTGGATAATTATTATTATACCTTCTATTATGTGTATTGGATAATATAATTATAATCTATTATCTTCTCATCGAGGATAATTGAGAGCGATCGCGGTAGCATCGTCTGACAGATAAATAAAGGCGATAAGTAAAATTTATACGTTCGTCTCCGTGTGCTACGTGTGAGCGAGACAAACGACACATCGTCGCGAAAAGAAGTATTGATGCGTGACCGATGGGGCTATTATCGCGGCGGTGAAGAATATATATCGCGCCTGCTAGTTGGCCCGATGACATAAGTGGCAATTCGGGTGATAGATCATCATTTGCCCGCGTCGCGGGCGTAGGTAACCCAGAACGTCTCGAGGACTGTTTACCGGCGCTCAGATTTACGGCCGGGTATGCATCTTTTTCCTCTCGTCTCGCTTCGCCGCCGTTTGGGGAGGAGAGCGGGGGGGGGGGGGTTATTTGAAATGCATCCACCGAATAAAGCACCTTACGATGGGTAGCGTTCGGTCCAATCGAACTCTCGTCTCGTTGCGGTTGCGCGCGGAGAGTGGGGACGATATATATTTACGATTTTCCTTCCCCGGAATAACGACGAGGAAGAATCCTTTCCACGATTCCCTCCGCGTGTGTCGATCGCGATAAACAGCGGCGGAGATGTCGGTCCTGAGCGAGAAAATTATTAATTTACACGGGGCGAGTCGCGTCGCGAGCCGACCGGATGACGCGAATTTAGTGTTCCTTGCATCGTCGTGGCGCCGTGTGCGACAAACGAGCGCGTTGTGTTATAAAATTCGACAGAAATTGGCGAAACGTGATTAATTAGCGGCTTCCGTGTAATGAACGTAGCGTAACGTTGCCGCCGGAATATTGATGGCCCTGCGATTTAATACGACCCAATTAGGAAGCAGCTATCATATGACCCCGGCGCACCACTCTGTATACCTCCGCCCTCCGCCCTCCTCCCCCCCCTCCCTTCACCCTTTCCTCCGTTTTTCCCTCGTCCCTCGATACGTTCCTCGTAACTACCCCGCTTTTCCTTTCCTCTCCGATTCTCTTCATCTTCCGCGTGCATACGCAAGCTGTTTATGGCCTCCATCTCTCCCTCTCTGTCTCTACGTGGCCCCTCTATCGTGCTTCCATCCCTCTTAACGTGCGCAGAAGCTCTGCACCAGCTGCTGTTATATTTTCCGAAAAAGAGCTGCAGTATGTTATATTGTTACATCGGATAATGGGTAATATGCTCGTTAATAACAGTCTGTGGCATGGATGACACGTAATTGCCTCCGTTTCTCGATAGTAACGGCCGCCGATACTCTTCACCGCAGGGCTTCTCCTCCGTGTTTCGATAAGTAGCTGAGGAACTTGGATGCAGTTTGATATAACGAGCCGTCTCAGCTCCCAGTGAGAGCCCAAAATTGAACGACCATCGTCGCAAATAGATCACAAATTCGCTCAAAAGCAGAATATATCTATCGAATCTCCGACAATGGACGAGACATATTTGTTTTTTTTTTTTTTTTTTTTAAATCTAACGTTGCGCATAAACATATCTCATTCGATATTTATTATTTTTTTTTCACATTAAAAAAATAATGATATAATCAATTTGATTCATTATCAATGTTTGAAGCACGGATGTTCCATCAAAATATATTTACCGCGATATATATTTTTGCTGCTAATATATAATTATTATCAGCCGCTTTTATTCCATTACCCGCGATATCGCATTATCATTTATATTAATTAAATTTCGTTTCTCATTATATCGTATTTCCGCGACATCATTTATCGACGAATGTTGTTTGCTGACGGCAAAATTTTTTTTTTTTTTTTTTTCAGAATTACTCGCAATTTCGACGATGTTATTTAAAGGTTATTAAAAGCACTCCTTCTCCCGCTTTTCGAAGGAAAGAAAGGATTCGTTCATTAAACTTACGGTAACACTCCCTCGACGTCGAAGAAGTGGAAATGAAGGTGAACCCGCTCGTTATGTTGACCATTGAAGAAGTAGTGGCACTCCGTGCTACGAGGGTACAGCCCAGGGTAATTTGGCGACGCGAACGTACCATTCCGGGTCTCGTTGCTGTTGAAAACAAAGGCACACGGATACTGCCCCTCCTGCCGACCTGTCGTTATCCCGAAGTCTGAAACAGCCAAGCATACATTCGTAAGTATGCTGCAGTTTGAACGGGCTGAGCAACCAGCACCGGACGCGACGAGGCTAAAAAGGAACGTTCTTCTTTTTCTATCTTTCTTGTATTTTGAGACGAAATAAAACGAAAACTTTGTTCTCTTTCAACTATCTATTTTTCAATTAAATGCTAGTTATTACGGTATTTATCAAAGAGATAGAAAAAGAAAGCGGAGAGAAAGAGAGAAATATATAGTACAACTAATTTAATTTAATTTCTGGCACGTTAAGCGTACAAAGGAGATCTCTCGCTGTTCTCTTTTTTCACCGTTCACATTTATTATCCTCGCGTACTTCATTATTACAGTGGAGAGAAGGGGTGCGTTTATAATCTCCTGAGCGGCTTAATAAATATTGACATGTACTAATAGCTGGGTGTGCACCGTGATACAAATCATTGGCGGTACAATCGTGACGTTGTAATAAACGCGCCCGAGAAATATGAATAATACCGAAGTAATTACTAATGTATTATTAATCGACAGTTTCAATATAGAGACAGCATCAAAATCAAATATTAAATCCCGGGGAGGGTTCTGAACACGCCGTTCCCGCGCGTATACATGTACAAAAGCTCGTGTAAAGCCTGCGGCGCATGATATGGCGCTTGTTCCCATGCTATACTGCTTGCAAGGCGGTTCGCTGACAACGGTTTGGTGTCGGAAAATGCGACGCGTGTCAGAACGACGATCTACAAAGCTAGATTCGACAAGGTATTTTCGCTACGTGATGCACCGCCATTGGTTGCAACAGTATAATCATCAAGGCTTTCTAGCTCATTTCTCCTCTTGCGAGAATCGATTTCTCTCCGTTGTTCGTCGTGTGTATAGCGATGGGAAAAATGATAAATACATCCCGTTCTCTTGAACGCGCGCCAACTCGATTGTCAAATGCCGCGAAGAACCAAGCTCTGTGTTCTCGAGGGATCGACCGGGATCGATCAGTTTATCAGTTTATCTTGTTCGAGCGAAAATTCAATCACATGTGCGTGGACCATTCGATATTTTTTTAATCTTTTTTTTTTTTTTGTTGTCGCAAGAAATTATTTCATCTCGCACCTTGTTCGATCGTGTTCGGTCCACGTTCGAGATATAGTTAATTCTGTTCGGGGCTGATCCGTCGATGCGACAAGCAAATCGAGAGGCACCTCGGGCCGGCGGGACGTAAAATAATTGAATAACTCCTTGCAAACATTCCAAGCGTCCGTAGCTGGCGCGACTTTGTGACCCCTTCTTCCATCCCGACCAACACCCCCGCCGATTAAAATTTCTCGACAGAAGCAGCCGAAACCTCATTACGGACGACTCAATTAACTTCGATCGCGACGGACGCCCCAGAGCGACGGCTGCGAACCGAGAACGGATGGTTTAGGAAAGATTCCCGGTGCTTTCTTCCGCCGGGAAACTTTCCCGGAAAGTGATTTCCATCCCACGTCCGCTTTCTCTCTCTTCTGTTGAAAAATATTCGTCTCAGGAACGCGTCGCCGTCGGCTACCCGATCGTACACGGCAAAAGAGAGAGAGAGAGAGAGAGAGAGAGAGAGAGAGAGAGAGAGAGAGAGAGAAACGGTGAGAGACTTCCAAGAGAAGAGTATGTTAATTACGAGATCGGCTCCCGTTGTCACACACAAGGAGACCGTTTGAAACGACTCGGTCGCAGTTACTGCGGAACTCCTCTCGAGAGTTCCTAAAGTGCGGTACACCGCGCCGCGAGGTCCAAGTTTCTCCTCTGGCTGTAAACATCGAGTAATAAGCTTCCACGAGACTTTTGCGCTTAGTTAGCCGCATTTGTTACGGTCACCGTGTATACGGTCATTCTGTCTTGTTGCGGTCGACTCGCCGGAAGGAGACGAACAACGATGGACAGGTCGGCCTCCGGGGAGGAAAAGTGCGAAAACGCGTTTGAAAAGTGTCGAGAGAAAGAGCGAGAGTCGGTCAACCCGACCATTTTTCCCGGCGAACCTTTTCCTTTTTAGCTCCCCTCGCGATCGCATATTGTCCCTTTTATCCGCAACGCTACTTCATCCCCTCGTGCGCGTCTCTGTCTACTTCATATTCATAAGAAGTGATATTAAAATTCACAGTAGTAATCCACAAAAATTGCGAATAATGCATAGAAATTGGGACTCTATTTGAATGAAAGTAGATAGATAGAATTTAGGCGGTTTTTGAAAAATCAATCTATATACCTTTTCCTCCTCTCCGATATCTGTGCGAAAATGAATCACGTGATAAAAAGAAAAAAAAACTGATTTCCCGAAGAAATGCTAGAATTGTGCGAGAATGTCGTTCGCGAACGGAGCTTGTTACCGTAATTGTAATTTTTCAATACCGCGCAGAATATGTCATAATAATCTATAGCTTTTTTATTTCGCGTTTTCTCTTCCCTTTCTCTCCCTCTTTCCGCCCGCACAATCGGGGTAAATGTTTCACGTTTCAAATGTTTGTTGTATGAAAAAAATCCTGCAGATCTTTTTTTATTTATGTCCATTGCCAGTGTGTAAAATGTTTGTAAAAAAGCTCGTACTAAAAACCTCGTATAAAAAAAAGAGAATGTTACTTTTTTTCGTTTGTTGGTCACGACAGTATCAATTCGCGGAAGCATTAAACTCTTGGCATATTTGCCAAGAATAAAAATACTTGATAAAGTTAATATCGAGAATGTTATTCTGTAAAATTGTTACATGATTCTATCATTATTTAAGTTATATATAAATGTATACTGTAAAAGAAACTACGCGATTTCTCTCTCTCTCTCTCTCTTTCTCTTTCGAGAACGAACATCACGTCGTTGTGACCGAACGACACCGATCGTATACTCGTCATTTAATAGAACCTTTAAACATGCATACAGTACGCCGTATTTTCGACGGAATTGCCCAACTGCAATTAAGGTTCCGGATTCGCGTTCGTCGCGTTATGATTTTTATTGTTACGAGCTCGTAAAGGGTGCTTCTTGACGGCGTACGAGAGATATCGCGAACGTTTAAGTATTCGACGTAATGCTACTGTGCGAGCTAAACTCAATTCGCTGCGCGTCCGCTTATGTAGGGTATATAGGGGAAATTGTGGTATAAACGAAATGGAAGTGATTTCTCACGCAAATTTGAATCGAAAATATAGAATAATATTTTTTCACACAAGATCTCCCGTCTGAGAGAAAACCGACTTTGAATATTCTTGAATAGATTTTGAATTCGAGTGCATGTGCATTTGATTAATAACAAGAATCGGCTCAAAAAGGTTTCGCTATAATTGTTGGGAACTTTAACGGTGTCTTGACTTGGTATGGATAAAAGTTTGCAACAAATATTAATATTGCACTTATTTTGTTAACAAATTACTGAAAATGTTCTTTTTGTTGCACACAATGCTGCTCGACAAATTGAAGAAGTATGAATTGATAATAATATATTTCAAATGTGTTTACTTTTGCAAAATCCTATATTATTGTCTTATAATTGGACATAAGTTTTGATTATTTTTAGCATAAACCATTTCCGTACTTGAATGTTTAAAATCGATTTTCTCGAAAACGGAGAAAAATTTTATCCTATATTTTTTGCTTTCGAGGAAGCATCTCCATTTCACCTGTTCTACGATTTTCGATGCATCCTGTACATCATTCCGGATACTTTCAGCTCTCTCGTGTATGCGCTTTCTTATGTATCTTAGAAAACAACGACTTCTGCTCTTTTTTTCCCCGCATCTATTATCCGCTGTATAATATTCTCTTTCTCTTTTTCGTCTCCGCGTCGCGCTTTCATATCCTAGCTAAAGGAATATCTTGATTTACATAACGCGATATCATCGCGTAACGTACCGTTCGCAAAGATATTTTAATCAACCGAGCGTGATGTACGAGCGTATGACGTTAGCGCGGACCGCAAATCTGTCTGGCGAATTAAGCGTGAAATTCGGCGTTGTTTCGTTGTTCGTTGTCTCTCTGTGATGCAGCAGATGTTACGTAATCAGAGCGATTAAACTGATTTTCATAACGCGGGTGGAAAATTAATTATCAGAAAGAGTAAAGATTTGTAAAGAAAAAATACAGGTATTTGATTTTTTCCGTTACACAAGTCTGTATTGAAAAAGTCGAATTGTGGAGAAATATTCGTAGCGAAAATATTTCCCGATGGGATTGAAAGACGCTTTGCAAAACTGCATCGTTCTAGCGCTATACATTAACTGATCTCGATTAAAGGAAGAAAAAACTTGATAGAATTTTTCTCATTGAAATTATGATGGACGCGTTTATTAAAATTCGATAAAACTGCATTAAACGCCTTTCAGCAATCGCGACAGATAATGAGGAAAATTTTGCTGCTTCTCGTGAAAAACGTATACTATAATAATCGTGATTTTACCAGCCGCGTCATCTTTACATTCGCAATCTTAGCCCGATCGCGAGAGTATAATAAAATACGATGGCATCGAAACGTTTCTCGGACGCGGCACGATTCATTTCGCCGATTCATCGAGGATGAAATGCTCTGTGTGCGTATAAAGTGTCATGTAATTAGCAGCAAATAGATCGCAGCATCCGCGCCGCGTCTGCTTTTAATAGAATTTACCGTCTCTGATGATCGGGTATAGCAAATATTTGTTGAATTATATGTGTGCTGCATTCTCTCTTTAACGTAACGCGGAATAATCGATAGTATTGCTAAATCAGCTCTTATTATCGGCGCGCTTACTGATTACGTTTGGAATTATCATTCACACAATGTACTACCAGCACCGCTTTATTATGTCAGATACGCGTAATCAAATACATATTCTCTCGTGCGAATCATGCTTGGGGAGATGCGTGAAAATTAGCGCTACAATAGAGACTCCCGTCACGATTAGACAATTGAAATCTAATGATGTTAATCAATCTAATGAGGCGAATCAATCGAATTTTTTAAACGCGGGCAAAGTGCTCCGAATGATGAGCGTTAAGAGCGATGGGT